AAGCGAATAGATATTTGACAAACGTGTGAAAATGATATATCATACACAAAATATTCCAATATATGTAATCATGATTTCTCATAACAATATTCGCGTAATAATGAAAAATTCGGGGCACTGGGCTAATTATTTCCGCGATTCATACAATGCGTATAACGAGTTGGGACATATTTACGACAAAATGTAACGTTTTATATTGAAATTTGTATTTTTTTGTCATTATTGCGATTTCACATTTATCCTCTATTGAAAATGAACAATTTACAATCACGACTTGAAACGTTGCTCTTGATGAAGCTAGTCACAAGACAAAGCTTTGCCTCTGTCGAAGTTGGTTACTCGATCGAGGATCTTGATCTTGATTAATTACAAACATTGCGCATCCTGATTGTAATTCTGGTTTTTATATCATAATAATAAGGACATGATCGCGCGAAGAATTATCAGCCATATTCTTTTAATAGTGCACGTACTCTTTTTTGAGGTTGTGAATTTTTTGATCAGTAATTTTATATTTATAATTATACATTAAGAAGAATTATCAACAAAAATTATGTTTTAGAAATTATTGTTTTAGAAATACTGTTTATTAAATTATACCTACATTTAATGCAGATAAAAATTGTACCCCTCTTTTCTGCCTCCGAATTATCTTTTTTAAAAAATGTATATATGTACTCTTTTCTTGCATAGTAAAAAACGTTTTGTGTTGGAAACTGTTCACTCCAGTTCTCGTTAAAATTTTATGTAGAATTTTTAACATATTTACGTGTTAATTTAACATATGTTGGAAACATGTGTTGAAAACTGTTCATTCGAGTTCTCGTTAAAATTTTATGTAGAATTTATGTAGAATTTTTAACGTATTCGCGTGTTAATTTAGCATAATGCCATTATATGTTATTATGGTATTTTGTGTTAAATTGATATTTCTTAATATCAAAATAATATAATTTATGAGTAAGTAAACAAATGACATAAAAATATGTTGTAAAATACAAATTTTAAGATAAATGAAATATATATTAATTTAATAATAGGTATATCGTAAATGTTAATTTTAAAAATATGCTTCCACAGTTTCCTCACAAATTATGTCAGTATTACTTTTTTTGTGTTAATTTTTTTTTACATATAACATTTGTTACTTTCCAACATATTCTTGTGTCAAATTAACAGAAAAATTTAAATGGATCATGAACACATTTAACACAAATTTTCCAACTGTGTGTAATTCAGATATGATAACCCTAATTGGTTTAATTGCGAGTAATCTCAGAATCATTAAAACCCGTTCTACGCATCCAGTGTAGAGCTGTTACTTCATTGTTGTTACTTCCGTCCTCGTAACTCGCCCGCCGGACGAGGAGTAAAAAAAGGAACAGGAACAAATTGAGGAACGGCTTCCCGCTATTCCGTTAATCGTTCACCGGCGGCGAACTGGGGCAGCGCGCGTTCGCGGTGCGATGGCTCGCGATCGAAGGATATAATCCTGCAAGGGCCGATCGTAAATCAAGTAACCCATGCACACGCTCTCCGTACATCCGCGCTCTCATCATTTAAACGTCTCATGGTTAGCGGATATCTTCCCGAGTCTTCCGGCAGGCCTTTTTTATCCTTTCGAGACGGGATTGCGCTCGCGGGTAGGACGAGGGACTGGCACGGGGTACGGTGGATGAAGGGGAACATCGTCGAAGCACCGCTTCACATAAATATCCGCAGACACGCAGGTTGCCCAGCAAGAAGAGCACTTTTACTTGCTCCCGGTAATCGCGATGTGCATGCTTAATCAATATTCAAGTATTCAGTCGTGAGGCAAAAGAGGAGACTATCGGTAGCTCTCTTTCTCCCCCTCCCCTCCCCTCGTTGATTTTACCCTTCGCTATCCTGCTCTCTCCACCTCATTGCGTTCTCTCTCTTCTCTCTCGAATAGGAATGCGCATAACTAGTTTCGTGTCTTCGGGTACCCTCCCTCATGATAACGATATGCCCTCTCGGACAATTATGAGTACTACCGAGTCGAGGGGAGGAGAGAGGGGGGAGGGGGGAGTAAAAGAATGAAGCAACGATGGGCACAAGGGATAGGCGGGAGTAACTTGCACGCTAGGCACCGCCACGACAAACGTCAGCCCCCGTCGTTTTCAAACATTATTCAGGTGCGTCCTAAGCACGTGTATATAGACTGGTTGACTTAAATATCCGCAACGGTACGTCCTTGAGCGGTAAAGAATGTTGGGGAAACAGTGGGTGCGGAAGAATAGGGATGAAATTTCAGCGTAAGCTTTTTACTAACGAATGACAACCACCTTTAATCTATGCACGATACGAAATATACTTTTATTTTTCTTTTAAACGTTCAAATTATTTATCTTTTTTAAAGCATTTCTGCACACAGTTTAAAGCATTTCTGCAGAAAGAATTACAAATAAGATATGTATTTTATATTTGTTTTATATCTAAAACTTCTGTGTATCTCTCTGGACAATGTTTATCTATTATTTTCCTTTTCTAGAATAAAGTTTTAAAGAAAAGTATATCCTACCTATTTACTCAAAGATTAATGAATAGCAATGATAGGCATATTAAAGTGCGCTCCAGAATTTAAATAAAGTCTACTCTAAATTCTTTTTGAAATGAAATCTAAAAAGTGAAAATTGAGCCAGTCTTGAAAAAGAGTGTTTCAGTTTTCAATCTTAAAGAGATTTTATTCTTCAGAGTGAGATTCTCTCACTCTGAAGAGTTTTAGAGAGTATTGATTGCATTGACTACTTGATATTAATATTATTTTTGTATACTAAAACACTTGTAGTTTATAGTATCTCGGAGTATACGTACAGTATAAAACTTCAAAAAAAAAAAACGATCCAATAATAGATTTCAAAATATGAAATATTTTTGTATTACGAAATTAATCTAAACTACAGTGTGCGCCGGTTAGACTTACAGGTGGTATCGTCCACGTATTTCTTGGCGAAGACATTCACGATTGCTTTTACAACGTAGCGTAATGCATTCGTTGTCGGAAATATAACGGAGGTAGCTTTAGAGGCTTCTTCGTACCTTATGATGGAGATTCCCTGCTTTTCTATGTGGCCAAGTCACGTCAAACGAGATCAAATATTGTTATTTGAAAATTATACATGTTAATAGTCAAACGTTTCTGCCAATACTGAGAGAAATACTGAGAGAATTTTAGTAGAACTTATAATCGATCGTATCAATGATAGCTATAAGTTTAGTTAAGAAACCAAATTAAATAAATTCTCTTCCCCATATACATTATATGTTCGATATATAACATACGCTAAAATTCGAAATCAAATTATGATGTAGAAATAGAGTGAATTATCAAATCAAATTTAGACAATCCATTATTCCATATTATTATTCGCAGGTTAAATATAAAGCGAAATGACTAAAACGGAGCAAGGATTTTGATTAGACTTGGC